TTATATACCACAGTGTGTCACAGTCCTCTCTAAGCGGTTTACAGAGTCAGCATATTGCCCCCAACAATCTGGGTCTTCATTTTACCAACCTCGAAAGGATAGAAGGCTTGAGCTGGTGAGAATTGAACTACCAAATTGCAGGCAGCCAGCAGGCAACAGAAGTAGCCTGCAGTACTGCATTCCAACCACTGTGCCACCACGGCTCTTTCTTAAATACATAAGCTAAAAATATGTTTGTTAATTTTTTGTAATAATAAACTGCCTGGAGAAATCCAGGGAAGCCAAGTAGAACTGCTCATCTGTGTATTTCTCAAAAGAACCACCTCATGGAGAGAAAAAGGTCATCCAAGCTTTTTGTAATTTTGCAATTAAATTCATGTTTCTCTCCTCTTCTTGATGTGATGGATGCAAAGGGAGGCCAATATATTCTGGTATAAAAATCAGATAATAGAAGGATATTTCTTTCTTGCATTTTGCAACAGGGAAGAGTTTCACCCCCCACCACCACTTCAAATACATCTAAGGTAAAGGTAAAGGTTCCCCTCGTACATATGTGCTAGTCGTTCCCAACTCTAGGGGGCAGTGCTCATCTCCATTTCAAAGCCGAAGAGCCAGCGCTGTCTGAAGACATCTCCGTGGTCATGTGGCCGGCATGACTAAATGCCAAAGGCTCACGGAACGCTGTTACTTTCCCACCAAAGGGGGTCCCTATTTTTCTACTTGCATTTTTTACATCCTTTCTAACTGCTAGGTTGGCAGAAGCTGGGACAAGTAACAGGAGCTCACCCCATTACGCAGCACTAGGGATTTGAACCGCTGAACTGCTGACCTTTTGTCAACAAGCTCAGCATCTTAGTTACTGAGCCACCGCGTCCCTTCTCAAATACATCTAACACATCAGTCGCTTCATGCGCGTGTGCACGCGGCTCCGTTGCAAACCAGTAGTAAAGTAGAACCCATCCCTGCATCTACCCAACTCCTTTTCTCTGTCTTAATTCCCCTCTCCTCCAATCCAGAAGCATGTGCTTTCCTCTTGAAAAAGAAATTGGTATGGGTAGTCCTTGACTTACAACCACAATTGAGCCCAAAATTTATGTTGCTAAGTGAAACATTTGTTAAGTCAGTTTTGCACCATTTTATGACTTTTCTTGCCGCCGTTGTTAAGTGAATCACTGCAATTGTTAAAGTTAGTAACACTACCAAGTTCGAAGCGTGCTTCTGCTGTGGTAGCCACTTTCGCTTCTCAGCTTGCCGGCGAACTGGGCGGAGGGAAGGGGGAAATGGAATGCGGGCTCAAGACATCAAGAAGACGAGCTGTGTGAACCAAAGACACTTCAGCAGGTGTTTTACCAAACCCCCAAATACATTGTCTCATCACAATATCCTGACCCTCAATTGGACAATGTGACCTGCAATAATAGAGGGGGAGAGGAAATTCTATAATTATGGGGATGGTACGGGAATTAGCTAGAGCCGGTTTTGCTTCAGTGGTGCCAAAACAATGTACTCAATAAAGTTTTGCATTAAGAGATGGGATCGTCTCGATCATGTTTGCTCGGTTGGGTTCATCGGTTCGGGACCTTGACATTAAACCAGCTCTACTTTAAAAAGAAAAATGACCAAAGTTGTTCAATGAATCTGGCTCATCTGCTAAAATTCTCTCCAAGTCCGTTCCCCTCCCCACTTTTCTTTCCTGTCTCTTCTTAACATAGAAAAGTAACCTCCTTTGACTTTCTTGACAGGAAGCCTCCAGCTATATATATTTAGCATGAATAATTTTGGTTTCAAGACAGCTTGGGAACCTACAAAACAGAAACGAGGAAGCCCTTCAGAAAAGGAGAAGAAAAGCTTCTCCCAAAACAGGTCTTGTGACTTCAGTCCCTTGTTACCAAGTGCACAGATCTACAAGTTGTTTTTTGTGGGGCTAAAGTCACTTTGCAAAGGTTATTCTCTTCGTCATCGTTGTTAAAAAAATGCATCTCATTTGTAACTTTGGTTTAACTTTTAAAAGAAGCCATTCGGGATTTCGTCAAATTGTAAATCTCAGTTTCTCAGTAGAAGCTAATTACACTGGGGAGGGGTTCCCAAGGGGGCTCTAAGAAGTCACAATGGCAATCCCAACGCCACAAGCCCTGCCCCTTTTACGTGCATCACAATGTATGCAAAAGGGGTGGGGCTTCAGTTGCATGGATGCATCTTCCTTTTGACTTCTTTGACCTCCTGCTCTGGATATCCCTGATTTACAATGAACAAATTACCTCATAAACTGGAATAGTTCATATCTACACTATCTCTCTCTTTCATTCTTACTGGCTTGAGTTCATATAATTTGTTTACAACTTGCTTATTCAATTACACCCTTTTCTAAATCAGCACAATATCCTGAATCATAGATTCACTAGCTGGACATTACATGTACAGTAGGTGACCAATACATGTAGCCCTCAGCTTATAATCACAATTGGAACCAGAATTTCCATGACTAAGCAAGGCTTCTTCTTCTTCTTCTTCTTCTTCTTCTTCTTCTTCTTCTTCTTCTTCTTCTTCTTCTTCTTCTTCTTCTTCTTCTTCTTCTTCTTTCTTCTTCTTCTTCTTCTTCTTCTTCTTCTTCTTCTTCTTCTTCTTCTTCTTCTTCTTATTATTATTATTATTATTATTATTATTATTATTATTATTATTGACTAAGCAAGTTAAGTGACTCACACTGTCAAGGTTTCAAGTAATACATCCCCAGCAATGAGAACTCCGAGGCAGGCGTATTCCTCAAAGAACATTTTATTGGGACATATCAAATTGGCACAGACTTGGTGGAAAACCGGCTCTAAGTTCAAGCCGGTTTTACACCCAATTAAAAGTAAAACTTTGTCACTTCCCCCCAGCGTCTCCAGTCGCATGGTCCAATCAGTATATAGTCCCATTGCTAGGTGACTTCAGTCTCTACCTTTTGAATACCTGCATGAACGTCCTTGATTCCCAGGGGAAATAATTTTATTGGATAAGAAGCGAAACATCTTCAAAGAAAAACCTCTTGAAAAAAGCATCTTTGGGACAACCATGACCTGGATGACTGAGAATCTCTATAGACCAGGGGTCTCCAACCTTGGCATCTTTAAGACTTGTGGACTTCAACTCCCAGAAGCTTTGCTGGCTAAGGAACTCTGGGAGTTGAAGTCCACAAGTCTTAAAGTTGCCAAGGTTGGAGACCCCTGCTATAGACCATGGCTGGATTTGTCATCCAACATCAGGAATCCCAGAATCATCAAGACCTGGTAACTTCAACAAAAGAGAGGAAAATGGAGGCAATTCTTAAAATTATTCCTGGGAAGATCTTCAATTCACAGACCATCCCAAATCCAAGGGAAAATAGGCACCTCCTTGATTAAGAACAAGAACTGCTGTGGAAGGGATTTATTTATCGTATGACAAAACTGTTAAAAAGTACGTCAGTGAGCAAATCTGAAAGTATTTACTCGATTTGCAGATTCAAAGGTAGACTATTTATATAATCAACACATGCTGGAGTTGCATACAGAAAGTCTCTGGGATTTTCCTGATAGGGGCTCAGAGGACATTGTTCCACAAAATGTCACACTTTCTGCTTTTGGAGCACCACAGCTGGATTCCGAAGAGGAGACCATTTATGGAGGAGACTAACATACTTGCCCTGTTGGGCCCTAATCCTATTAAAATTAACCAGGTCTTTTGGGTAGATTGAATCCTTTCGGTCCATCTGTAAAGCAAGGAATATTGTGACACTCTGGAGGAGGAGGAGTGGACCATTCCTGCATCCAGGACTGAAACAGACTGAAGTTGTTATGGAAAGTCTTTTGTTCACATACTCCAGAAGTCAGATAGTGAGGTGTAAATTGGGAGGGGGGGGCTCCAGGAAGGAGGATGGGAGTGTTGTTGACAAATGCAGAAAGTACGACTTCAGCAATAGAGTGGTCAATATCTGGAATGCTCTACCTGACTCCATTGTTACATCCTCAAACCAGTGGTGAAATCCAAATTTTTTTACTACCAGTTTTGTGGGCGTGGCTTGGTGGGCATGGTGTGGCTTGGTGGGTGTGGCAGGGAAAGGATACTGCAAAATCTCCATTCCCACCCCACTCCAGGGGAACGATACTGCAAAATCCCCATTCCCACCCCACTCTGGGGCCAGCCAGAGGTGGTATTTGCTGATTCTCTGAACTACTCAAAATTTCTGCTACCGGTTCTCCAGAACCTGCTAGATTTCACCCTGCCTCAAGCCCCCATAGCTTCAACCTTAAACTGTCTACCATGGACCACACCCCATTCCTAAGAGATCTGTAAAAGGGGGCGTGCATAAGCACACCAGTGGGCCTACCATCCCTGTCCTATTGTCCCCATTTATTTGTACTCATTTCCTGTGTTCATGTCTATGTTATACCTGTTATTTTATTTATTTATTTATTTATTTATTTATTTATTTATTTATTTATTTATTTATTTATTTATTTATTTATTATTCGTATTTCTATGCTGCCCACTCTCTGAGGACTCTGGGCGGCTTTCACCAAAGACAGTATACTAAATAACATATTGCCCCCAACAATCTGGGTCCTCATTTTATCCACCTCGCAAGGATGGAAGGCTGAGTCAACCTTGAGCCGGTGAGATTTGATCCGCTGATCTGCTGAATTAGCAGTCAGCTGAAGTAGCTGCAGTACTGTATTCTAACCACTGCGCCACCTCGGCTCTTATACATGTTATCTCGTACATCTTTGACAAACTAACTAACTAACTAAATAAATAAAATAAAAAATAAAATATCCCTCTCCTTTTCCCCCTCTGGCTACAGCACATTGTACAAAGGTCTTTAACCGTTGTTATATTTGAGCCGAGCTGGCAGAATTTTGCTGGAGTCAGGAGGACGTAGGGAGAAGGCCTGGCTCCATTATCACACTTCCTCAAAATGGAGCAGAGGAGGGTGAAAGTGAAATGAACTGCACAAAGGGAAAGTGATGGGCAGGGGAGAAAGTGCCTCAAAGGCAGAGGAGAACGGAATCTTAGCCGCAATGCCACGATGTCCATGGCTGCTCCTGATGCTGGTGGGTGAGTAAAGGGGTTGTTTTGCTAAGCAGAAAAGAGGCAGAAAACCTTTTCTTGAGATGGGAGCTTCAGGCTGCCCATCTTCTACAGAACCCAACATGGCAGCGATGGTGATGGAATTAATACTTTGGCAACATCAAAAGAGAAGTGGGTTGTTGTTGTTTTTTGGGTTGAATTAACTTCAAAGCTTTTCAACATGGAGCTCCACCTTGCATCAACCCCCCTAAAAATGCAGGGCCATTAAAGGACACCCTTGGCTTGATTTAGGCTGCAATGAGGACTTTGTTTGTTTGTTTGTTTGTTTGTCAAACATGTACAAGATAGTAGGTATAGGTATAAAGATAAACATAAACAAAGGAAATAAGTACAGATAAATGGGGACAGTAGACAGGGACTTATGCACACCCTCTTTATGGACCTCTTAGGAATGGGGTGAGGTCCACGGTAGACAGTTTGAGGTTGAAGCTGTGGGGGTTTGAGGCTGTAACAACGGAGTCAGGTAGAGCATTCCAGGCATTGACCACTCTGTTGCTGAAGTCGTATTTTCTGCAATCGAGTTTGGAGCGGTTTACCTTGAGTTTATATCAATTGTTTGCCCGTGTATTATTGCGGTTGAAGCTGAAGAAATCGTTAACAGGTAAGACGTTGTAGCAGTCTCTACCAACATCAGTAGAGTGTTTTCTGACTGAGTGGTAGTCTGAAGAAGGGGGAAAAAAACTTTTATGGTACCATTAGCAAAAGGGAGGTTAGATCTTTCGGCTGTAAGGCTTCGCTTTCTCCAGTGATAAGGAATGTCCTAGGAAAAAGAAAAAAGATGATGGAGCTCAATAGAGAATTAGATCTAGTTCTTTTCCTTGCAGGAGCTGGATTAGATTATTAGGAGTAGATTATTAGGAATACATAATTATAATATTATTATTAGATTATTAAAAGTGGCGTAACAGCAATCTTCCAATAGTTAAGTGTTGTTCCCAAATTGGGTCTGAGCCTGGTGCCGAAGCCAATGATGGATGCCAGACATGAGGTGCCGGTTTTCTGATTGCTTTTTATTGTACTCCTCCAAGGAAAAGGGCTCCAGGCCAAAAATGCCAAGAACCAAGAACAAAGGATTAAGTAAGCTTTATACATTTTCACTAAAAGAGAAGGCGGGACAAGGTGAGATAATAAGAAATACCATCTAATAAACATTTTAGTAATAATTCTACAATTTGTTCTATTGGTCTCTAGCTGTCCCTATTCCTAAGCCTTGGCTAATGAATGCCCCAGGAGTTATCTAGTACACATTTAATTGGCTGCAGGCCATCCGTATTCCTAATTTTTAGCTGAGGCCTGCAAGTTGTCTAACTCTTATTATTTTTATCAGCTTTCTAACTACCCAGAATTGTTACAAGATTTACACATGCATATTTCCTGTAGATAAACATTCTTTGTTCTTGCCAGACACACTCCACAATTACAGGCTTCCTGATTTACTTTCAAGTGTGTGTCATGACCTGGCTTTATTTTAGCATACAGCCCATCATTCGGGGCTGTCACAAAGGAGAGGGGCTCAACCTCTTCTCCAAAGCCCCTGAGGGCAGGACATAAAGCAATGGATGGAAGATCATTAAAGTGACATCCAAACTGGAAGTAAGGAGAAATTTCCTGACGGTTAATAATTGACAATTAGTTAATGACTTGCTTCCATAAACTGTGGGTGCTCCATCACTGGAGGTTTTTAAGAAAGGATTGGAGAGCCATTTGTCTGGAATGGTATAGAGTTTCATGCTAGAGCATTGGAGTTGGACTAGATAGAAGACCTCCAAAGTCCCTTCCCACTCGGATTCTGTATTCTGTAGACCTCGCTGCTAATCCCTTCTCCTGTTCTCTTCTCCACCAGGCCCTGCTGCAGGCCTTGTGCTGTCTACGCCCTCGTTCCCAGTGACCGTCTCCCATGGAAAGACCGCCTTGCTTCCAGTCTTGTTGAATTTCTCTTCTTCAGTGCCCACCTACTTCCAGATCCGATGGCGTTTCATCACCAGCCCAGGGCTGGTTTTGACTGTGAAAGCTGATAATTGCAAGGGAGGCAGTGGTACCCGTCAGTGGTGGGATGCTTGCGAGATCACAGTGGTGAAAGCAGAGAGATACAGGCACCGAGTGGAGTGGTCTTCTGAAAATGCTTCACTGATATTACGGGATGCCAGAGTAGAAGATTCGGGAATTTATGACATCAAGGTGCTGGCTTTGGGTGTCAGAGTGTCAGCCAACATCAACTTAACTGTGATCAATGGTAAGAGAATGGAAATAGACCTGTACTTGTTTCTGCGCATGCGCAGATCACCTATGATGATGTCCGGGTTAGTAGGCAGAGCTTCCCACCGGTTTTACTACTGGTCCGAACTAGGGGCAACCCACCACTGGTCCACACATCTGAAAGTTGCCAAAGTTGAGAAATGCTGGTTTATACATCTGAATATCAGAATTCTCTGCATGAAATCCTTATTCTTCATTCTCTTGTTATTCCACATATGCTTGAGAGAAATTCTCCTCACACCATGGGGCCATTGAAGGACACCTTGGTTGGGAGGAAGGAGGTTACGAGCACAGCTGTAGTGCACAATTTGAAGCCCCATTTCTTTTTAGGTGTATTGCATGTGAACACACATAAAAATGGTGTCATTTTGACTTTCTTGAACATCCACTCCTGGTTGCTGCTGGATAATGGCTCTCCCATCTCTGCTCTACAGTCCCGTATGAGGGAGTAAGCAGATACTGGGAAAGTGATTAAAACCACAGTGCAGATTTAAGCCAGAAGAAGCTCATAGCAAGTGCATATTGCAGTGGTTTGACCTTGGGAGACAGAAGGAAGAGATGCTGCCAAGGGAATGATTAGATAAGAGGCAGCATAGCCCACATCTAGATAGTGGGTGAAGCAAGAAGCTCTGAAGCCTCTCTAGTTTCTTGGGCTGTTAAAAATAATGGTGGTGTCAAGCACAGGAAACCAGAAGTCCAAGCAGATCAAATGAATATAAGTTTATTGTATGCTAATGCTTTGCATAAGAATCTGAACTATGAGCCGCGGTGGTGCAGTGGTTAGAGTGCAGTACTGCAGACTACTTCTGCTGATCACCAGCTGCCAGCAGTTTGGCAGATTGAATCTCACCAGGCTCAAGGTTGACTCAGCCTTCCATCCTTCTGAGGTGGGTAAAATGAGGACCCAGATTGTTAGGGGGCAATATGCTGACTCTATAAACCGCTTAGAGAAGGCTGTAAAGCACTGTGAAGCAGTATATAAGTCTAAGTGCTATTGCTAACCGTCAAAGCAAATTGGCGATAGATAAGGCTCAACAGAATTCAAGGTGGGCTGGACATAAAATCACTTGTGGGCATGAAGGGACTCGAGACTGATGATGCATTTGACCCCTCCCTCGGGCTCAGCCTGGTCATCCCCTCCCCTAGGTGGGAGATTTGCACTTTTAGACTTCTAAGATTCTGTTAATGTAGCTTTACAATAAAGTAGAATTAGTTCAGCTGATTGTGTTTCTTGTTTGGGAAAGTTGACAGAAGGAACCCTCCCTAGTGTTTTGCAAATTAAAAGTAAAGGAGAGGAAAAGTGCTTTCAAACATTGTGATCTTGCAATAAAGCTAGTGGTGGTTTTATCTGGATTTCCTCAAAGGGCTGAAACATGTGCTTAACAGTCTGCATTAAGAAAGTAATGTCTTTTTAAAAAAAATTTTTTTTAACAGAAACCAGCAATCCCCCCTTGAATGCTGCTGCCTTTGATGATCAGAGAAGAGGGACCTCTTCCAACAAAAGCACAAATGTAGCAGGTTTGTATGGGAGATGGAAATAATTAGAAAATAAAATCAGGAATTGAACGGAATATGGAAGGGGGAAATGACATCAGATACTGGAAGATGAAACTTATCTTCTTTCATGTTTTTTAGACATTATCTCCATCCATCACATGTCAAAGAGGGATCACCTGCTGTCCTACTTTCCATCTCTGTACAGCTGCTGCTATGTAATATAAATTGACTAAAGCTGGAATAAGCAAAGGCTGTTCCCTTTTGAACTGTCCATGATAATTATCCCCCATTTTGCTCCCAGTGGCTCTGAACAGTTCTGGGCCTTTTGATACAGACAGATAGAGAAAGACAGAGTTAATGCAAATCAGTATTTCTCCTCAGCAACTTTAACAAGTGTGGACTTCAACTCTCAGAATTCTCCTGTCAAGATGGCTGGCTGGAGAATTCTGAGAGTCGAAGTCAACACCTGTTAAATTTGCTGAAGTTGAGACACATTGATATATACTGTTGTCTGGTGTTTATGGTTTTCTCCCTCCTTGTTTTGGCCTGCCTTTTCTCCTATTTTTACCAGTTAATTGTTTTGATCTTTGCTGGTATTTAATTAAAAAAACATCAATAGCAATATAACTTATATACCGCTTCAGAGTGCTTTTACAGCCCCCTCTACACGGTTTACAGAGTTAGTATATTTGCCCCCAAACAATCTGGGTCCTCCTTTTACCCACCTCGGGAGGATGGAAGGCTGAGTCAACCTTGAACCTGGTGAGATTCGAACTGCCAAATTGCAGGCAGCCAGCAGTCAGCAGAATTAGCCTGCAGTACTGCATTCTAACCACTGTGCCAGCACAGCTTATAATCAAGCACTGTGTTGCTATTTGAACAGAGGGGCTTCCTCTGATCTGGATATAGAGTTTGGAAGTATGCAAGATGCAAATTGAACTGGAAAATTTCCAAATGCAAAGTTTAAGATGCAAACTGAATTAGAAATTATGTTTAGTAATGTCCCCACATTTCTGTGATGAAAGCTGTGATTATTTACGTATGGGGAGTTTCATGAGTTACACAACCAAAGGGGAAAAAAAGTTGCCAATTGTTAACCTCCTTTTCTGTCCTTCTAAGAGTGAAGTAGCAGAGGGAAATTCAACAGAAATAGCTTACTGCACCAGCCACATTGGAGGAAATCCTCTCATTGCATAACTATTAAAGTTGCCACAGTTGAATCCTCTCTTTCTGCCTTACCACCCCACAGTGATGTAATCATATTTTGGGTGCTGGGCAACCAGCTCATAATATTTGTCTGACTTTAGAAGAAGAAATATTGGCATGGACCTTCTCTTTCCAAATCTTGAAGCATACGATGCTGTTTCAGCATCAGATAACTCTGCCTGTTTTAATGTCAACCAATTGAATTATTGACCTCAATTGAATAATCAAGATTCGATATTCATTTATCCACGAGAATAGAATAAAACAGAATAATGAAGTTGGAAGGACCTTGGAAGTTTTCTAGTTCAACCCCTGCTCAAAAAGGAAACCCTATATCATTTCAGACAAATGGTTGTCCAATCTCTTCTTAGAAAACCTCCACTGATCGAATACTCATGATACTCATAACTTCTGAAGGTGAGCTGTTCCACTGGTTTCCACTGACAGGAAATTTCTCCTTAGTTCTAGGTTGGTCCTGTCCTTAATTGGCTTCCATCCATTCCTTCTTGTCCTGCCTTCAGGTGCATTGGAGAATAGCTTGACTCCCTCTTCTTTGTGGCAGCCCTTCAAATATTGGAACACTGCTATCATGTCACCCTTAGACATTTTTCACTAGAGTAAGACATATCTATTTCCAGCAACCGTTCTTCATATGTTTTAGTCTCCAGTTCCCTAATCATTTTTGTTGCTCTTCTCTACACTCTTTCCAGAGTCTTAACATCTTTTTTTATGTTGTGGCAACCAAAACTGGATGCGATATTCCAAATTGTCTTCCAGAACTGACAGTGTGGTCTTACCAAGGCATTATAAAGTGCAGTGGTGGGTTCCTCCCGGTTTGGCCCGGTTCCGCCGAGCCGGTAGCGGTGACGATATGATGTCACCGAACTGGTTCTCCCCCCCCCCCCCCCCCCCCCCCTGCCCTCCCCACCCCCGTGTTATTCTTACCTTTTATTTGGCCCCACCCCCCAATCTATTGCTGCCTCCTGACTCCCAGCTGATGGCTAGAGGGAAAAAAACTGTTTAAACTCTTGCCGCGGGGCTTCAAAGGGCCGCCCTACAGCTGATAAAAGAAAACAAATGAGTAGACCAGTGCCTGCAAAAATACATGGGTAGACCAGTGCCTGCAAAAATACATGAGTACACCGGTGCCTGCAAAAATAAATAGGTAGACCAGTGCCTGCAAAAATACATGAGTGGATCAGTGCCTGCAAAAATAAATGGGTAGATCAGTAAAGCTCTGCAAGCAGTTAAAAGCCTGGTAGACCAGTACCTCTGCTAAATCCTAAATAATTGTCACATGACCATCAAGCCACGCCCACAAAATAAGCCATGCCCACAGAACCGGTAGTAAAAAATTTTAGAACCCACCCCTGATAAAGCGGTATTAAGACTTCATAATGATATAAGGACTCTTGATTTGGGCAGGATTTGGACTAGAAGACTTCCAAGGTCCCTTCCAATCCTATAATTTGATGATTATATGTCTCTTACTAAGCAGAGCCAGCCACCCCTTGAAGCAGGCAGGCCCAGCCCCCTCCCCTTATTCAAGAAAGTAAAGACTCTCGAAACTGAGAATTTCAAAAGGAACCTTTTATTGAAAAGGGGTGATAGCAATACAGATTCAAAGCAGGCTCTGAGGTCCCTCAGGGCGTACAAGTAGAATAAAAGAAATTAGAGACCCCTCCCAACAGTCCGATGTGGATCCAGCCAACCTGCAGGTATGAAGATGTTATTGTAACCGCCGCTCTGAGAAAGAGATAAGAGAACTTTCTCAGGGTCATCTTCTGGTGCAGTCCACTGTGGCCCACCCTCCCCTTACATTCCCCAAGAGGTGAGAAACTGCCAGGCAGCCACGGCGCGCCAGGCAACGGTTATAAATCAGGTGAAAGGTTCTACAAGAATGCAAGCAGGGTATAGGATACAGAGAAAGGAAAATAAAATAAATGTATCAAGTATAAAATCCTTGTCAGTCAGAAAAGTCGGCAGTTCGGCTGTTCGAATCCCTAGTATAGGTCTCCTGTGTGAGCAGAGGGTTGGACTAGATGACCTCCAAGGTCCCTTCCAACTCTGTTACTGTTACTGTATCCCCCCCCATCTTCCGCAGAAGAATGGCAGACCACAGTATCTGACAAGGCAGTTCCTTTGTCCAGCCATTCTTCTCACTGCAGGAAGTCCCTCCTTATGTTTCACTGAGCTTGGCTTCCTCGCTATTCCCAGCTGCTGTTTGTTGACCAGCTCTGCAGCTTGAGACACTTGGAAATGGAAAGTTTTTGTGAAGTCTTTCCTCTTGCTTCTTGGGTCTCCTGAGGAAACCATGGTGGTGATCCTGTCAAATGTCTCTTGTGGCAGCTCCAATCTCTTTGGTAAAGACGGAATTTGGCAGAGACTATACGGTGACCAATATCATCCGACTGAGCTTAGCTGGCCTGATTCTCTGTCTCCTCGGATTCATCATAGGAGAGGTAAATGGCTATTGTGTATTGTGTTTCTCCTCCAGCCCTCCGCCATATTGTGTTTCTCCTCCAGCCCTCCGCCATGTTGCTTATCTCATTTGCTGAAGATGACCTTGCGATGTCTTTCCTTGGGGGAAAGAGAATACAAGCACTCCTCAACTTATAACAGTTCATACAGTGACCGTTTGAAGCACTGAAAAAGTGACTAATGACCGTTTTTCACACTCCTGACCCTTGCGGCATCCCCATGGTCATGTGATCAGAATTTGGATGCTTGGCAATTCTAGTTGATATTGATGATGGTCGCAGCATCCTGGGGTCATGTGGTCACCTTTTGCAACCTTCTGACAAGCAAAATCAATAGGGAAGCCAGATTCACTTAACAACCCTGTTACTAACTCAACAGTTGCAGTGATTCACTTAACAACTAGGGCAAGGAAAGTTGTAAAATGAGGCAAAACTCACTTAGCTGTCTTGCTTAGCAACAGAAAGTTTGGGCTCACTTGTGGTCATAAGTCAAGGACCACAGCGTCCTTGCAGGCTTTTGCAGGATTTACTAAAAGATAATTAATCCTTGACTTTGACCGCCGCTGAGCCTGAAATTTTGGTCGTAAGTTGTTGTGGTCATATAACCAAGCTTGACTTTATGGGTGTTTTTTATGACAGGTGTTAAGTGAGTCACTGTGGTTATTAAGCAAATCATGTGGTGATGAAGTTTGAATCCAGCTTATCCGTTGCACTGTTTCAACTGGGAAATGGCAAAAAATGTTGCAACATTTGATCATGTGGCCATTGGATGCTGAAACTGGTTGTAAATGTGAACTGGTTGCCAAGTACTCAAAATACTGTGGAGGTGGTAAGGCAGTCGTAATTTGAGGACAATTCATAAGTAACTTTTTCAAGTTACATCATAACTCGAATGGTCACTAAACAACCGGTTGTAAGTTGAGGATTATCTATATTTAAAAGTTGCAGCTAGAGCAGATCTTAGATTTCCTTTCTGGGTGATACCCAACCAATGCTAACTTCACTCTGCAACCAAATCTCAGTCCTTCAAGGCTCCTGCCTTAAGTACACTGGAGTACAGCCTGACTCTTGAAATTCAACCATGCCATTTTTCAGTCTAGATCTGTGGGTGGGGGTTTGTAGAAGGGGCATTTTCTAAATCTCATCCCCATCTGGATGATTGTTTCTTTCTGGAGATGGGAAGATTTGCTGTAGCCGATTGCAATGAGAGCTACTGAAGTCCACAGTTCAACGACATAGAGGCCTTTCTACCTTATCAAATCCCCTGTAATTGCAAGATCAAGAAAATGAAGGACGTGGATTTCAAGCACAGATTCTTGGAAAACTGTTAGGTAAACTTCCCTGCTTCGTTGATCAGAAGTCTCTTTGAAATGATTTTACCTGTCTTTAGAGCAGGGGTCTCCAACCTTGGCAACTTTAAGCCTGGCGGACTTCAACTCCCAGAATTCTGAAGCTTTTCTGAAGCTTTTATGAATTCTGAAGCTTCAGAAGCTTTGCTGGCTGGGGAATTCTGGGAGTTGAAGTCCGCCAGGCTTAAAGTTGCCAAGGTTGGAGACCCCTGTTTTAGAGGGATCTCTCCCGAAAGGGTCAAAAGAAGCAAGGTGGTGATTGCAATCATGCTGTTGGGATTGCCATCTTGACTTTCTGACCCTACTCCTACAGAGATTCCTAAGAAAGGGACTTGTCTTAAAGAGATGATGATTTGTTTGTTCTCTCTTTCAATGAACGGAATCAACAAGGAAATAGAATCCCATCTAGATATTTATCTGTCCTGCTCTATGCAGTTTGGAGAGGGAAAATCCCCCAACATTTTAGTGAAAAGCTAGCATGTGGTCTTTGGTCCAAGAAACTGATGCTTCCTGGATACAATGAAAAGGCAGCATCTGTGACAGCCTTGTGCAGAGTCAAGGTAGGCAGATGTCAAAATGGTGCTCATGGACAACAACCACTATGTTTTTGGGTCCCCCCCCCAGTCCCAGCATCGGTAGGCAGACAACCTTCTATTGCAGCTCGAAGAGGATCTAAGTGGGAGTGTGATTTGGTTTAGCAATAGCAATAGCACTTAGACTTATATACCACTTCACAGTGTTTTACAGCCCTCTCTAAGTGGTTTATAGAGTCAGCATATTGCCCCCAACAATCTGAGTACTCATTTTACCCACCTCGGAAGGATGGAAGGCTAAATCAACTTTGAGCCGGTGAGGATCGAACTGCCGAACTGCTGGCAGCCAGCAGTCAGCAGAAGTAGCCTGCAGTACTGTATTCTAACCACTGTGTCACCACGGCTCATTTTACTCCAACTAGGCTGGAGAAAAATAAAAAGGGCTGAAGCAAGAGCCAAGCTAAGGTTCTGTGGAAGATTGTTAAGCTTCTGTTGATCTACAAACTCAGCATTAATTTGATACATACAATCTAATTCATCAAGTTCCAAGTGTTGGAAGAAATGTCCATCTGGGTTCAGTTCCAAGTGGGGAGAAAGACACTGGAAACATGGTGACTGCTTGGAAAGATGGTTTAATGGTGGACAGGACCACGTGGTTTGAGGTCCTGGGCAAAAAGAGCACATGAGTGAGAGAGGGAGAGAGATTTATATCCTCTCTTGGGGCCTTGGAGCTTCCTGTTCCTGTGTAAGAAATGTATACTGATTGGTTGTCAGACTCCCATGGGGCCATGCAGGGCAAACTTTGTAGGTTGTCTTGAGTCCCAGGCTTGGTTGAATCTTGCTGAGTGATGTAAGCTTCTCAGGTGTCATGTGGTGAGATGCGTAGAGGGCTAATCCTATTGTGACGTGAGGGTGAATGTCTTTTGTATTGTAGATAAGCTGGTCCAGCCTCTGTCTTGTAGATAGGTTGGCACCAAAATATCTGCTGGGGAAGCAGGGAGCTGAGGCTCTGAGTTTGCCTTTAAAAACATGTTTCTCCTTTAGGGAAAATATAATATTCTGCCTTTGTAATATTTCTTAGAATATTTTATTTTCCTAGGAGAGGGGTGGGTGCTAACTTCCTACACAAGTATGAAAACAGACAAGATTGGCCTTCAAATGCCTGGTTTTTCTGCTCGCTAGGTGTTTGTTGAAGAAAGTCAGAGATTGTTCTTCTTTTTACAGAATGTTGCCTCCTCTTACTCCAGATCGCGAGAGGCAAGGGTGCATCAGACGGAAATTCCCTTCTCCTCCTCCTCGGTTGAGCATTGTTTCCTGACTTATGAAAATCACCCAAGTTAGGTGATGTGGACTTATAAAATTTGTTGCTGATCTTCTGCATTCCTTCTTTGCAACAGGCCATGTCCTCCCCTTCTCAGCCACTAAAGTATTTGTTATGGGGTGGATGGATCCTCCTTTCTAGGAGAAAAGGTCCTTGTACTCAACGCTACACAGTCTACTATTGCATCACTTCGCCCTTGCTCTGCAGCTTCTGGAAAGGGGTTGTAAGCCCACTGCTGGCTAGAATGCACAGATGACTCATTTTTGGCATTGACAGCATTGGCATGTGACACGAGGCTTATGTGCTCAGAAGTTTGCACTCTCAGAAATGGATACAGGAACTGGCTGTAGGTCTGAACAAAGCCACTTCCACAAGCGCTCGCTTGCTGTCCAAATAGTTGGACTTCTACTCCTGTAAATCTCAACTAGCAAGTCAAAGTCCCAAAGGTGCTTTTTCAGGAGGCCACTAGCTATACCATTTGGGATGGACACCCTTGGAATGGTGTGGGGGTAGGAATGGATTTCCAGAGGAAAAATTGCAGACTTTAGGAACCAGGAGCACTGCTCAGGTGACCCTGAGGACACAGATAAATCTCCAAATGCTTCAACGACCCGCTAAAAGGATACAAATTACCAGCTGTCTGCAAGGAATATAAATCCTTCCTTTCCCCACTATCCTGTCAGAGCTGAAGAAGCTTCTTGGATGAGAAGCGAAACGTCTTCAAAAGGAAAAACAAGGAAGTCCAGTTGCCTCCTGGAAAAGCACCTTTGGGACAACCATGACCTGGATGACTGAGAATCTCTACAGACTTTTAGCAAGTCAAAACATTCCATGTTTGCTGGAATGATGGGATTGAAGTCCAATGTATTTTGGAGAGCAATTAGCTGGAGATGGTTGGACCAGGAAGTTGGAGATATCTCTGGAGAACAAACTTGGTTTGTTCTACACCAGGCAGTCCTGAAAGTATCTACAGTGGTTTAATTTTCTTTTTCCTCAAACATCTCCCCTGAAGAAGACTTCAGAGGGTCCCTTGGTGCTCTCTTAGCTTGTTTTCTTTCAGATATTTCATTACCCAAACTAGTGACATCAGTGCTAGTGAAAGCAAATCCTACTCCCTACTGGCACTGATAATGTTACCTATTTGGGTCATGAAATGTTTGCAAGAAAATACCAAACTCAGGGAGCACCAAGGGCCCCTCATTTCAACCCGAGCTACAAATATTCTCCTTTATTGAAGAGGTCAGAGCTTTTCTAGCAGTTGATGTCCCTAGTGAGTATCTCTGTAGGCCTGACATTTCATGTCCCCTGAGAATCATTGCTGGTCGTCTATCAGAGACTGTAAAGCAAACATGTCCAGCCATGTTCGCATCTTCATTGCCCACCTACAGCAAGCCAAGGTAACTCTAGCCCACAAATCGTTGACTTCTAATAAAAGAGTTTGGTTATTAGGTGCTGCAGGATTTGTTGTAATTAACACAAAAGGCTAAGCCATGGCTTGCTTAAACATGGTTGAAGGCGTAAACTACAACTAGCTGGATTTACATAATGCAAGAAGCAAGATTAGCATGCCAGAACATGTCTGAACGATGAGTGAGCCAAGCCAGTGTTCAGGGATTGGGAGTCTGAATCTTGCAACTGGCCTTTTAAGTCAGTGGTGAAATCCATTTTTTTTTGCTACTGGTTCTGTGGGCGTGGCTTGGTGGGTGTGGTGTGGCTTGGTGGGCGTGGCTTGGTGGGCATGGCAGGGGAAGGATATTGCAAAATCTCCATTCGCACTCCACTCGGGCCAGCCAGAGGTGGTATTTGCCGATTCTCCGAACTACTTAAAATTTCCACTACCGGTTCTCCAGAACCTGTCAGAACCTGCTGGATTTCACCCCTGTTTTAAGTGAGGTATGGGGGCCACACTCTGAAAATGTTTGGGGGGGTCACTGGAGATGACACCTCAGGATGGGTGCAAAGGTAGCTCTGGGATCCAAAGTTTTGCATTCTGGTCTGTGCCAGAAAATTTTCCTGATTTAACTCAGTATCAGGGTTCAGTTTGGTACTTCCTTATGAATCTAGCCAATTGTGGTTTATTTAATGAAGCATGGTGAAGAAACCTGTGGTTTATTGAGATATGTTGAACCTGCTTGTTATTTTCCATTGTTTAAACCCATTATCATAGATTGGACTTTAATTTTATGCATCCTGTCCTTCTCCACATCAGATGAAAAATTCAGTACTGTTGATTTATTTTAGCCATAATTTATTGAACAAGCAACAGTGCCCAAGTGCATACAAAACAAATCACATCATAGCTTAGTGCACTGTAATTGAACTGGCTATTATTATTATTTTTTTTTCATTTTAATCAAGAGTTTTCCAGTTTATTGCAAAACCTTGGTGTCCCCCTTCCAAAGTCTATTTTTACTCTTATTCTTCAGTAGCTCACCTCCCGCTTCAGTTGTTCTTCCAGAATTTAAGGTTACAATTACAGGTCATCCTTGACTTATGACCTTAATTGAGTCCAGAATTATAGGCATAAATCATGTCAGTTGTTAAGCTGATCATCACATGACTGATCCAATTTTATGACTTTTTATGATTTTCCTTTGTTCGTAAAGGAAATCACCACAGCCGTTAAGCAAAAATGCAGTCATTTTAGCCAATGGGCATTTTTGCCACAAGCCAGTGCCTTTTTTTTCCGGTGTCCATTGTAACTTCGAACGATCACTGAGCAAGTAGTTGTAAATTGAGGACTACCTGTATAAATGTCACAGAAATGGGAATTTTGCTTTGAACCCAGAATAAGCACATGGTCAATCAAAAGTTCAGATGATCTGTTTTGGGGACAGCTATGAAACAAAATCTAGGGTTCATTGGTAGTGCTGGGTCTAGATTGAAACCAATCCAGAGAGGTCTAATCGGGAGAGATGGGCTTCCTCACCTCTCACTTCCTAACTGGGCATGAAACAAGTCACATGTTCCAAACTGCAGTGAAATTTACCTAAAGTTCTCTGAGAAGGTTTCCCATTGGAAAATGTTCAAAGAATTGCACGGTTCCTATGCAACAATGTGAATTGTGCAGTTTAGTCGTCAGATAGTTTGAGGAGTTACCGTAGACCAAGAAATAAGATGAGGTTACAAGAAATCTTCATAGTTACTGCTGGTTGCTGAGAGTCAAAAGGCAAGGAACACTGATTCTGCGCTATATTGTGTAGTCCAGGGGTGGGCAACTATGGCCCTTTTATGACTTGTGGACTTCAACTCCCAGAATTCCTGAGCCAGCCATGTTAGCTCAGGAATTCTGGGAATTGAAGTCCACAAGTCATAAAAGGGCCATAATTGCCCACCTCTGGTGTAGTCACATTTTCCTTCCTCAGAGGTGTCTACAAGACTGTGGTCCAAACTCAAGATGGCAGCCGCAATGAAGTCATCAAACATCCACTGCTTGTTCTGTGCGTTGCACACATGAAAAATAGGCAGAGATTCAATTCAACCATTAGGGCCATCTTCATGACTTTTCTGAACCACCCTCTGAGGACACCCTTGCTGCCACTCTTCATTGAACTGATTAAAAAAACAACAACCGGTGACTTTGGTCACACTTCCAATATTCCCGCTTTGCATGAATTTCTGTCATAACCAAGCATATAAACAATCTAGATTGCACAGTAAGAAAATAACTTAAAAAATAAAATAGGATGCACAGGAAAATCCGTCAAGGCCAGTGAACAGTATCTTCAGTACATTCACAGGTAACCGAACATGGTTAATATTGGAATTGTTGCTAGAAAGCAGAGCCCTGTCACACCACCTGTAAATGGAAAGAAGAAGGTAGGTAGATCAATCCACCTAACATTCATTTGTTTCATACACTGAGATGCCACATCACTCAAAAACACCTGTGGAGCTTTGCCCAGATAATCAGCCAACAGCTGGATGGTTGCGGATGGATCAAATGATGAAATATGAGATGAAACCCTTGGGCACCTTTCCCCCCCCCCCACCCATGTGAGTGAGCAACCACATCACACCAAAACTAGTGATTCAGTCCTTAGTTCAGCAAGAATAGTTGGGAAGGGAGGGAGGAATGGAGGGAGGAAGGAAAAAAGGAAAGAAGAAAGGAAGGGGGAGGAGAGAAGAGAGAGAGGGGAGGGGAGGAGAGGAGAGAAGAGAGAGAAGAGGAGAGGGGAGGGGAGAGGAGAGGGGAGGAGAGGAGAGATGAGGAGAGATGAGGAAGCACTCCACAGGGTGTAGTAGTCCAATAAAAATCAAGATGGCATCTGCAACAGGTTAATTGAAGCTCTATGACATTTTTATGGGTGTCATAGAAATTTGATCTCATCATCATAGTTGCCATCTTGATTTTTTTGGAGCAGACGCTGTGGACATCTCCGGCCATTACAGTTCTAGACCTTTCTTCTAGGAACTGGGAAGAATCAGGGAAAAAATCCATTGTCAAACTGTTTCTCCTTCTTTACACGTTTTCTTAACATTTCCCCTTCACGGGTTCTTCTTTCAGCCAGCTACGAATGTGGCTTTTTGTTTTTCCTACCAGAAAAACATTTGCTGTTGATGAGTTCTGTTCATTAAGAGGAAATCAGACAGAATGATTCACTGTCACATGTGAGAGATTCTGCAGGATATCCTGCTATAAGGTTCTGAAAACCTCCTATGGTGACTCAGCTTTTTCATTTCAAACCCTTTGCCTGTTTAAAACTGGGGTGAATTTTAGTGTGGGAACATCTAAATACACAACACAAAAGGTGAACTTTACCTTCCCATCAAAGACCAATATGTAAAGAAATAAATGGTGGGAAAAATAAGTAAAGTAAAAAAATGTATAATGTAAATAATACACCATAAAGGAAGCAATGTCATGAAGGAAAGTTGCAGAAAATGTTCTGATTCAGTTGAAATTACCCATACAATTTGCTAAAGGAATGTTGGTGGCGGCTTTAAGATTGGGTGGACTTCAACTCCCAGAATTCCCTAGCTAGCCATGATGGTTGAGGAATTCTGGGAATTGAAGTCCAGCCATCTTAAAACCGCCAGGGTTGCCAACATTGGTCTAACTCAACGCCCTGTTTCCAACTCAGCATTGGTCCATGTTATCCTGAGATGATGGGAATTGTAGTTCAAGGCACCCCATGTTTAGATTTGGGAAGTGCTAATCCCTTAAATCTGCATTAAAATGCAAACAGAATCATTTTTTCCCTCATTCCTATTTAAGAATTGACGGCAGAACTCCGAGAAAAATGCAAGTATCTTTTCTTGTTTCCCTTGCCTCTACTTACTCCATTTTGTAAATCGGATGTTGAAGGCTCCAGATTTAGGAGAGGAAGTGGTATTAGGCCTTGCGCCTGGAAGAAACCAGAGTGGAGATTGAGAAAAAAAAGAGAGAACATAGTGTATCACAATCTTGCACCTTCTGGTCTACTGAATTCATGGCTGCCCTCAGGGTATGATAAAAAAATTCAAGATGGCGGTCACAAAGTATATGCATCAATTCACATAAAAAATCCAGCAGAGATTAGACTGCACAGTTGTGGACATCATCTTTTAAACTATAATCTGCAGATGTTCCTGGAGGAATCCATTATATCTACTTAATAGCCATCATCTTAGTTTGAAATTATGACGGACCTCCCCGGGACCACATAACCCCCCCCGTCACATGGTTACACTCAGGGACGGGTTCCAACTCCGGTTGCTACTGGTTCGCTCGTGTGTGTGCATGTGCTTGCGTGCACACAGCGCTTCCAGGTGGGTGGGCGGAGCCTCCTGCTGCTGCTGCTACCAATTTGTCCAATCCAGTGCGAACTGGTAGCAACACACCACTGGTTACATTTTGGGCGCTTAGCAACCAGTCTGCATTCATAGCCAATTGCAGAATCCTACAATCACATGGGCATGTTTTATAACTTTTTTTTTTTTTGCTAAAAACCAGCATTTCTTTCTTATTGTCACAAAGCTGGTCCATAGCAAACAATTCATTTGCTTAATGACTGATTTTGACAAAAAGGGTCATAAAATCAGGCCATTCACATGGATGACCCCTTTACCACCGCCATGACTTATAATGGACAGGTCCCATTATGACTCTATGTTGAGGACTGCTTGTATATTTTGAGGGAAATTTTTAGCTGTTACTACTGGTAGATAACCTGTGACCTGTTGGGTGATTGTTTCAAATATATTTCATTATCTTAACAAAACAAAACAAAACAAAACAAAACAAAACAAAACAAAACAAAACAAAACAAAACAAAACAAAACAAAACAAAACAAAACACAAAACAGAACGACTATAGACAATTAAAAAAGCAGTGAAAGTGACTTTTGATTTCCTGCCATCTTCCCAGTGGTAGGTTGCTACCAGTTCGCACCGGATTGGTCGAACTGGTAGCGGCGGTGGCGGGAGGCTCTGTCCACCCGCCCGGATGCTTCTACGCATGCACAG